TGATGCCAAAGCTGGTGTAGGACTGTCATTTCCCTCAGTTCTTCCTCCACTCTGTGTCCGCCAAGTGTAATTCCTGATGCCTCCTAGGGAAATATGAGATACCTGAGAAAGGATTACACATTAGATATTTACTACATTTCAAAAATGTTCACCATATAAAACCTTTTCATTTGAATTTAAAAATAACACAGGCATGACCTTCTGACAGCCATACCTGTGCTACCACTTATCCCTATTTATTGACCTCTGCAGTGAAGGTTGAGAAATATGTAGAGAGCCTAGTGGCAGAAGTCAGGAGTTGAGGCATAATAAGATGAAAATCCTCATGGGTATCAAGTGAGCAGTGTAGGAGGAAAAGAACAAAATAGCTGTGGGCTGGGACAAGGAGAGGCTTCCCATAGGACGTGGCATGTGGAGAAGGCTGGCAGGAATCAGAAGAAAAGACAGAACTTAGACAAGAAGAAAGGTTATTCTAAGCAGAGGAAATAGTTGCCTTCAGACCCAGGAACGTCAGGGTGGAAGGAGCAGAGGCTGGTTCCACTGAAGCTAAATATTCAGATAGTGATTATTCTGAAGAGGTGTGAGGAAACCATCTCTATTTCTGCTGCTTTTGTGTTTGTCATAAACATGACCTGACCAAACAGAGGAACGTTTGATTCATCTCTTGTCCATCTGCCAACTCTTGAAGTGTTAAGCCTGTTTTCTGTAAAGACTTACCATACTGTGTTAGTAAATATTTGGGGTGCAAAGAACTGAAGCATTGTCAAAAGGGTGTCTACTCCACCCTTCCGTCTATTGAGTTCGGGGTGGGGTGGGGCAGCTTTAGGTGCATGAATGAGGAAGCTGTCCTTCACCTCCCATAAATAAGCGCTGGCACTGACACTTGGAGCACCAGTCCTGCTAGATGCTTTTGTTCTCAGCAAATGCGTAAATATTTCCATGTGAAATGGGATTTGAAATGACTGCTAGATCCCCTGACACTTTACTTCTCAAGAATGGTACTTCCATGAAATCACCATAGGTGATAAGATGTGGTATCTTCATGTACAAAGTCCCTACAATGAATGCAATTATTATGTAATGCAAGCATGTAATAATAAAAAAATTTTAAATCACGTGTTTTAAATGATCTTAAATCATCTAAATGATCTTTTCTTTTTTTTTTTTTTGGTCCTGGGGATTGAACTCATAACCTGGCACTTGCCAGGCAGATTCTTACTCTGCTGAGCTCAACCTCGGCCCTGATTATTTTTTTTTCTTAAAAGAATCACTCTCTGTTTTTTAGTGAAAGTATATTTTTTTTCATTCTAGGCAAAAACAATGCACAGATGTGTTTGCAAATAAGATTACCAAGCTGGAGATTTAGCTCAGCATTGTAAATGCCTGCTTTATAAGTGCACAGTTTGTGAGTTAGATCCCCGGTACCAAAAAAATAGTTCCAGCAAACCAGATTACCACTATTTATACCTGGGACCAAGGAAGACAGAAGCAAAAGCAGAAATACTTTGGTAAGGCTTGAGAAGAGTTTTGCTCTTTATCCACCAGCATTCAACCAGAAAATTCTTTCCATGTAAAGTGAAACTTTTAAATAGCCGAGGAAAGATTATGCCTCACCTTGCTCCTACACTAAGAATCTGTAACAGCGTTTTTCCTGTGGGGAGGGACAGGCAGGCCTTGTGTGCTTAAAGAGAAAACACCGCAAATGTTTTAGGGTGAAAGCTTCTGCTTGGGAGCCCTGACAGACCCGGTTCAACCATTTATCCCAAAACGCTAACCAAGGAGAGGAGCAGCAGGGACAGCAAAGGACCTTTAATCAGCAGGCTCCCCCTGAGGTGTCAAGGTCTGCCTTTGAGGGGTTGTCAGAACTGGGGTTTTACTGAAAATGGGAACAAAGGTAAAGATTGAGTGTTTTTCTAGTTGGCATGGTAGGTAATAATCTGGTCTGGCTGACTGGTATCACAGGATGGTTCTTTGAGATTCTGGGAAGGCTGTCATTGCTTAAGAGGGCAAGTTCCTTTCCATTGGGAGATCACAGCTGTGACTTGACAGTTCCAGCTTAGGAGGGGCAACCTTGCTTCCTGACATGGGGAAACTGTATTCACTGCATCAAGAGGTGGGATGGTCTGTGAGCTGCTTTTCCTGGAATCCAAGGTCACTGCAGGTTTAGGAGAATGTGCAGAGACTTGTAGGCGTGGCTTAAGGCATCTGAAACAGGATGTTATAATAGCTAGCAACGAGATGTCTCTACAAACCCTGAAAAGTGTTGGGTTACACGTATCTTAGTGTTCTCAGTCTTGAAAGAGGATGAGATAGATGACATAAATTTAGGATTAATAAAGCTTCTATTACTGGTTTTTAAACAAGGCTCCTTAAGTGATTCACATGTATACTCATAGAGCTGAGTAGTAGTCCAATCCAAATTTTTAAGGTAAATAAGGGAGAAAGATAGATACAAAAATGAAGGTAGACATGCCAAGCTTCATCCTGCTTTTTACTCCCTGGGTGTCTGCAGACTCGGCCTCTAAGCCCTTCTTACACAGATTCAAGGAAACACCGCCAGACATGGAACTGTAGGGTTGTGTGTGTTTTCTGTTATGGTGACAACATACCTGAGCTAATCAATTTATAAGCAAAAAGAAGTTTACACTTCCAGAAGTTTCAGTCTGCTTATTTGGCCCTTTTGCTCAGCCTGTGGTGACAGAATACGGGTGGTGGTACTGGCACAGGGTAGAGGAGTCCTATCACTCTAAAAACTACTTGTGTTCTGGGTTGGTGGCCCCTTTATCCTTTCATGGTGCATAGTCTTGACCGCTTATCATTTTCATCTTTAGTTTCCACCAGCCCTCTCAACCCTTCCTGTAAACTGTTTACATCTGCCCTATTTGTGATCGAGAACGTCCACCTGCTGACTGAGTTTATTATTAGCGCACAAGGATTGCTTTCTTTCTCCAGCCTAGGGAAACATGACTGCCGCCGGCAGGATTTTTGTCCCGCAGAAGACATGAATCCAGAGTTGAATTATGAGTCGAACAACTGAATCTGTTAAAAACGTTGGGACCACCCTTTTGCTTTTCTGCTTTGAGTTGCTTTTTATTTGATAAAATAAATTAGTAACTAAAGTTTGTATGCTTGAATATGTGAGAGGGAAATTGCATTAGACTGTGTGTGTTAATGAGATATATTCTTGAAAAACAACCTGATTGCATACTTACTATGTCTACTGTCCTTTATCAGATCTATGGCTGAGACTCCTTCCCCTATTCCACTTGTCTCAGGAATCTTTTTTTCCACCTTTTGTTGTAAATCATTATTTAAAAAAAAAAAAAAAAACCACTTTGCAATTGTTTTTGCCCTTGGCAGTATCAGTTAGATCACTATCACTGGCATTAAATTCTAAAATATGGTATTTGCTAGTATGTTAAAAGTTTTCTTGGAGAGGGGCCAGTTCTTTTGATCTTTTTTTGATAAGCTTTCAAAGTCCTGACTTGGACATCTTCATTTTGAATTAGGAATTCTTATCTCTTAATATTGTCCCAGACAATGTGGGCGTCTCTCAAGTCTACCAGACAGTTGGCCTCCTTTGGGGCTCTGCATTGTTAGGCTAGACAAGAATTCAGGCGGCCCTTGTGGACCGACTGCTGTTGTATTAAAAGGTGATCTGGCAGTTGAGCCAAAAACATCTAGAAAAGATACCAGGAGAATGCTTTGCCACTTCAGTCAATTTAAATATCACTGTAAGCCTTGGTGTTCTCTAAAAGTTTAGTTGGTCTTGGGTCATGGTTCAGAGCACTTTATACATTACCAAATGTTAGCCTTTTCTTCATTCTGGGTCAGGGAGCTGACAAGTGGCAATAACCCCATTTCCAAATGTAGATTCAAAGCCACGGAGAATTTAAATAACTGCACAAGAATTGCTAATTCAGGCAGACGAGCTGTGTTCATGTAAGACCAAGAAGGTATCAAAAATGGTCCTTAAGACACTAGAGTGTAGAGCATCAGTCCCTTCGGGAGCAGATATGAGGTACTGCACACGTGAAGCCGCTCCACAGAACTCTGCCTTATTCTGGACTCATGAAAGCAAATGCACAGACTTTCAGCCACATTGTCCATGTAGGCAAGTTTGTCTTCTTTTCTTTGAGCCCATTTCCTTGAGTCTGAGGCAAAGAATGTGGACTCGGGCTAATTAACATGCTGACCCTACCACCATGACGCTGGGCAAATTATCTTAGCTCTCTGTAACACATTTCCTTTGCTGTAAAATAAGAATAAATACTAGTTCCTGCCTCAGACAAAGTGCTCTGAGAATTGGGTGACTTAATTCAGATAAACCAGTTAGAACCCAACACATTAATGCTCAATGCATGTTGTTTCACTAGCTCATTTGTTTTTATTTTTTTATTTTTTATTTTTTGGTAGTAGGGGATCGAACTCCCAACCTCACGCTTGCCAGGAAGGTGCTTATGCCACTGAACTAAATCCCAGCCCACTTGTTTGGTTTTTGCAGTGCTGGGGATAGAACCCAGGGCATCAAGCATGCTAAACAAGCACTTTCCCACTGAGCTATATCCCCACCCCGTATTGTGTCATCTGTTATCATTTAATGTATTTTCTTTCTTCTTTGGAAAGCCCAGCCAGGGCTTCTCCTTCACCTACTTCCCCTCCACTCAAAATAGCAAAAGGCCTGAGATCAGTCATTCTATAAAGTAAGAAAGAGTTTCACGTTGCCCCGGCCAGTTGGTTTTCTGTGGAATGAAAAATCCCCGTTTAAGGAATTTGGGGTGCCATAGATATTTTTAGGGTGTAGGTAAAAGTAGAAACAAGAAAATGGGAAATTTTTCAATTACCTTGAAACTATCTGAAAGAAATCTGTTTTAATGTTTTCTAGATTTCCTCTTCTACCAGAGCATCGGCCTGCTTCCCTGACTAGAGCCATGTCCCGTGGCCTGTCACATTCCCAGCGATGCAGGGTCTGTTTTCACACGTCTTCTTCTCTTCCCCAGACTTCTGAGCGTGTTCTCCTCTTCCCACCTCTGCTTTGCTGAGATGATGCTACCGCGCAGGCCCAGAGAGAGAAGCCAGATGCTGTGAAAGTATGACTTCCAAACAAAGGTAACTTTAGCTTCATGTATAATTGCTTATCATTATGCCTGATGATCCATCAGTGTGCATTGTCTATATTATCAAATAGATATTTACTTTATTTGTCTTTATTTAGAAATACTAAAAGCTCTGTGTACACATGCTAAGCCTTCTTAATTAATTGTTCTTTAAGTATTATTACTGGATTATTGCCTGTCACATTTTTTTTATTCCAAGTATCTGCAATTAAAACCATGAAACTCAGCTCCAAACTCTCTGCTGCATGACAGAGATACAGGATGAGAAATAAAGAAAGAAAGAACGAACTAGGGAGAAAAGTGAATGTGAAAGCCTGGGGTGACTGTTTCTGAGCCTGTCCCCCAAATTTACCAACCAGAAGAAAGCTTTTAGACTCACAAAGCTTAAAACACAATGATTCTTACATGTAAGCTCCCGTCATCCTTAAATGACAACATATTTTTAAGTGCTTAGGAAAAACAGAAATAGGTATTAGAACTTATATGGCAGTTTTAAATGATGTGTATAACTTGACTCATTAGAAACACCAGTCAGTTCTTCCTATAGATCCGGAAGGTGATTATTAATCTCTTAGTCTTTTTTTTCTGACTTCTCTGTCTCTGTCTGTCCCTCCCTCCATCCTCCCCCCTCCCCCTCCCCCTTCCCTGTCTCTGTCTCTCTTTCTTACTTTCTTTCATGGTGTTCGAGATGGAACCAGACACATCCTAGCCAAGTGCTTGACCACTGAGCTGCATTCCCAAGCCTTCCCATTTCTTACCTAAATTCCTTTATTAAAATCTCATTACATAGGCTGTTTTCCTTTCCTGACTCTTTCCTTGTACTTGCCTTCCACTGCAGTGACAGGGAATCAAGTACCCTCTTTCCCAACATCCTTCCCTTGGGACGGTGCTATGGTTCCATCACATGCATATGAGGGGCAGGGGGCTGGAGTCCCGCGAGAATTCATTTTCTTCTCCGTAAAATAGAGTATCTTTCTTACCACGGAGGCGTCCTGTGCAAGGGTGTGATGAACTGTATAACCATGAGAGAAAAGCAGGAAAATTACCAAGATGCTGGCTTAGGTCCTGCCATTAGGAGCTGCTTGAGCCAGCTTAGTTTAGATCTGATTTACATTTATCCATACAGTTTAAATGCATTTAAAATTTTTGTTTATTAGCTCACCAACATGCTTTTATATGTTTTTAAGGCTTCCTTTGTCTCTTCATGGTAACCCCTGAATTATGAATTTTCTTTCCTGGTGTCCCCTATTAACTATTTTCCTTGGCAGTGTTAATCACATGGCTTTCAAATAGGATCAGAATCATTCCTGTTTATGTAGGCACGAAAATGTTAGAAGGAATGTCCTCAGAGGAAGCAGCTTTGTACCTCACCTTTGGTTGTTTTTGGCAAGAGTGGACCAGAAGTCAAGTAGCTGATCTCACCATTACCGCTTCAGGACATGCAGCTCTTAGTATTTGGCACAATAGTGTTACGAGTTCCAAATTTTGTTCCCTAAACTTTCAAGGGTTTAACAGGTGATCTTATTGCGACACAGAATGTAACACAGTGTATGTTTTTTATAGTGATCTAGTTCACTAAACATGATGTCTGACACTTTTTATGGAGTCTTACTATATGCAGGAATTTCTTGGGTTAAATTAGTTCATTTACCAACTCTACGGTGTAGATTCTCTTCTAAAATACGGACTTAGAGGGATGAAGGAGCTTGTTAAGGTCTCAGAATAGATACTGAGGCATGATTGGAGCCCCAGCACTTGGCTTCAAAATCCATGCTCTTGATAGCATGCTCTCCTACCTCCTTAATAGTTACAGGGAACTGTGGTAGGATAATTTACAAAATCAAGCTCCCCTGGCCCTTCCCCAATGACACACTCCACTCTATCAAATGTATGAATTACACGCTTGGAATTTCAGATCTCTGGACTTAATCATGAGCCGGGGGGATACCTGTGCATATGAGCCCTGCGGCTGTTTCTATTCTCAAGCTCCACTAGCCAGGAGAATGGCAGACAGTCTTCTCTGCAGACCATCCCTGCGACACAGTCTCCTCCCAAAGGCCCTTGAATCAGCGTTGCTCAGGGAGAGGAAACGTCGGTCAGTTCTGTCAGCTCCTGGCCACCAGGCTGCCCCTGAAGGCTCCCCTCTTTTTGCTGCCTGTATGTTTGCAGAGCTTTCGCTGGGGGCCTCTTCCCCATTTCTAGGAGAGGTTAATGGATTGCTGTGCTCTTATTATTCCATCTTGTCAGCCTCATGTTTGAGATGTCCTGAAGGCAAAACAGCTTTTACTGCTGGCGCCCTACTGCTACTGGTACAACCAAATCCCTAGCTACAAAGTGCTCTCCCCTGGAACTCACCACTGTCATTCTGAAAGCTGCAAGCAAGCTCCCAAAACTCCTGTAACCCTGTCTCCTTCATGGTCCGTTTCTTATGGGAAGTGGCTGTTCTGAGACTGTTGTCATGACAACTGCACAGTGGCCCAGGAACTTCCTAATTCTGTCTACTTCAGGCAGATGGAGCCCTTGCTTCCATTGGCAAGAATGCGGAAGACGAGTCTTTTGTCCTTCTCAGGAAACGCTGGAGTTCTTACTTATTCTTAAGTACCATGATGAAGCCTTGTTTATCCAATAGCAGCTTTCTGTGTCAGAGGTACAGACTGGCTTTCTAGGAGGATGGATTATAAGAAACTGAAAAAAAAAATAGATCTAAGCACAAGGCGTAGGGGTTTAAAAAAATAGAACCAAATCTTCTCCTTCCTAATAACTTTTGAATGAAGTCTTCCTTGGTGACTCTTTGTCCCAAGTCAGTCAATCAGTCTTGTCCTTCCTCCACTTAAACACCATTTCAGTTATTATTTTCTTTAATGCCAAGAATCATGAATTCATCCATCCATCTGCCCAGTCAACCATTCATTCCTCTATTCATTGATCTACTTACTACAAAAATTCATTGGATACCTCCCATAAATAGCGTTATAAACAACTGGGGTCACTGTGATTAATAATACGCAATTCCAACGCTTGATGACCTTATATTCTGTTGCAAAAGATTGAAAACTAAATGGACAATTTCAGTGACCACACATTGTCATGTTATTGCCTCTCTGAGCACTGAGAAGCACATGTAAAAGACTTTGTTCTTGGGGATTAGGCATGTCCCAACCTGGTGTGTTAGTTACTTTCTCTTCCCTGAGACACAATACTCTATACTCACAACTTAAAGGACGAAAGGTTTATTTGGCTTAGAGTTGCGGTGCACAATCAGTCAGCTTCAAGGCAGAATGAGAAGACAGGAGGCATAGCCAAGCAAAAGCTGTCCAGACTTGGCAGCCAGAAAGCAGAAAGTGAAGGGAGGTCACACCACTGGTGACCTATCTTTTCTGACCAAGCCCTGCCTCCTAATAGCAAGTCAGATACATTGCTTGAATGATTCGATCCTCTTCCAAAAGCCCTGCCTGTGAGCACATGGGGCTTTGGGGGACGTCTCAACCTAAACCGTAACACATGGTATGAATTTTGATCATCCTCATTAGACTTTTAAGGATCTAAGTTAAAGTTCAATTTGTTAAAGGGAAGTGGAAGATGCAGTATCTTTTGCTAATGAAACAATCCACTTCAGAAGCAAAAGGAATATATTGTCAGTCCTTGGAAAATACATGTTATCCAGCTTGAGTCAGCCTTTGCTTCTTTCCTTTTTAAAAACAAACTGTTCAGAGCACTAGTAAATGCTAAAACCTAGAGTGTCAGGGCCCTTATCCAGTCAATTCAAAATATTTGCTTTGAATTGCAAATTCACCGCCCAGGTTTCACTGGGTACACTGCAGTATTTAAAGTTAAAAATACTTCACATGAACAGTTATTTTGTTGAGCATCTCTACTCTGGCTTGAAGAAGCAAAAAGCCTCGCGGTTCTAAGGTTTTAGACACAGCAGCACACTCATGTTCCCAGGGGGTGTGCATTGGGAACTCTCTCGAGGCTTCGTTGCATCACCTGCGAACCTCCAAGAGTAACCTCAGTGTACACCTGAATTACTTAGCCCCTCAGCGTACTGCTTCAAAAAGGCCTGAAAACCTTTCTATTAAAGGTCTTTTCACTCTTAGATTCCCAAGTTTAGTCAATTTTTTCCCTCTGCAAAATAGCATGGCATTTACTAACATGCTGGGTATCCTGGTCCATTGTTAACCTTACCCAGTAATGGCTTGAATACCCATCTTGTTGCAGCCAAAAACAAAAAAAAAACTTAATAGAAAAATCTAATACAATCAGCACCTGAGATCCTAGACATTCTGTGTAACATTTTCACTTGTTTGTTCAAAATAACTATCTTGAGTAGTAAACTGTGGGTAGAATAGTACTGATACATAATAGATGCTCATAAAACATTTGCCAAATGAATAAAGAGATTACAATTTCCATGTTAGAGATGAAGGAAGTCATATCATTGTTTGAGACCATTCAGTGGCCAAAGCAGGTTGCTCATTCATTATTTGAGATCTGTGTATTACTTGCTCTCAAAGAAACAAAGTTAAGCTGTTAAGTATATGCTCCAAAAAGGCTTTTTAGAATCATCATACAACAGCCTCAGGATTTTCTAACCAAGATCTTTAATCCTCACATATGAAACCAAGAGGCCAGGTGTTCTCTTTGTGTCTGTCTAGGATAACAGTCTTGCCGGATTCCCATCTGTTTTGGATGTCCTTATCCAAAGAACTGTGAAGACTCTCAGGTGAATTCAGAGATAAAATTAGATTGATTGGTTGACTTATTGATTTGAAACAGGGTCTTAGTATGTAGTTCAGGCTGGCTTTGGATTCACTTATGTAGCCCAGGCTGGCCTCAAATTTATGGTGATCCTCCTGCCTCCGCCTCCTGAGTTCTGGGATTACAGGCATGCACTACCACATCTGGCAAAATTAGTTTTAAGGACTGTAAGTTATGTTAAGAACTCACACAGTGACTGTGTCTCACTGACTAATGTTTGCCACATCACCCTTT